CTATAAAATAGACAAATAAAATTCAATGATTTTATTACATACCCAAGTTTCTCAGCCACCGAGTCACAATTGAGTGAAAAGATGATTAAAACCCTAAGCAACAGAGTATGCAAAACCCTAAAAGTTGACTAAAAACATGATTGAGAGAATTACCAAGCTCCCGTTTGATAGTCCTTGTTGTGTAAAAAAGATATTTTGAATAGTAATTTTTGGATAATGTATGGTTCAAAATGGGAAAAAAAAATTGGGTTTACGTACAAAATATTTTATTATGTGAACGCGTGATTAGAAATGAGTATGAGAAATAAATTATTTTGTTTAATTTAAGAGAGTCAAATATGTACTAAAGATCTTGATTTGACAACGAATATAGATATGTACCTTAGTGTGAATAGAGGCAAGATTAACATGGATTTTAATGCACTAAACCTATATGTACACAACAAATTTTTGGACAAATTAAGAAGCACAAACATCAACAAATGGCTTGTGATCGTATTTGGCTTCAAACCTTACTAAGTGAACTTGAAGTCTCTCATTCAACGAGAATATTCTTTAATAATTAAGAAGCAACTCAAATTGCCTCTAATATGTTTTTCCATGGGCAAATCCTTAAAATTGTATCAGAGCATTTTTCCTTACTCACCAAAATTCACATAGCTCATGTTTGATTCTCATTGAATTAAAATTCATTTTTCTCTCTTTTTATCAACAGTACATTTTTCAATAAAATAATATTATATGTAAATTTAAAAACTTTTCCTTCTTTTACAGCCATACATTCTCCAAGAAATTACTATTTTCCTCATTATGAGACTTTTATTATCATTCTTAGTTCCTTGTAACTCATGTCATTTTTGTTGTTTTTCTTAAATAGATATATGAGTACGAAAACCTATACCACAGCATAAATATGGATATTTTAAATATATTCAAAGTTCCACAGCATACCATTCGTAATTAATAAACGTATTTTTCATGGCCATATTATCTTGTCTTCAGTACCATTTCGAATAATTTAAGTTCATAATTTCAACAATTATAATTTTCATATAAAAGACATGAGACATCAGTAAGGAAATTTTTATGATTTTCATGGCCATATCTTTACAATTATGCATGGCCATACTATTTGGACTAATTTAGGTCAATAATTTCACCAAATTATAATTTTACATGCAATATGTTCTTGAAGAATAGTCAAGTCATGTTTAACCATTCAGATCAAACTTATTCCTTATTTGTCCCTTTGGCTGATTCAAAATTTTTTGGAGTTCCATGTGTTGAAAGTCAAATTCTAGCAGCCAAAATCAAGAGACCGTGAGACCGAAAAAATAAAGAAACCGTCCTTTAACCAATTCAAACGCTGAAAAATATTTCTATGATTTCAAGTCAGCCACCCGATTCTATATATATATATGCACCAATATATGTATTCTCTTCATTCAAATCCCAAGAATAGAATTATCATAGTGACAGACGTAAATATCAAAAAGCTCATCAAGAAAAGTTTATACTGTCATAAAAGAAGAAAAATGGCAACCCTTCAGGCTTCTGGCATCATGTGTTCGTCCAGTTCTTCTTCTTCTTCTTCTTCCTATGATCGCAGAGGTAGAATTATTCGGGCAACCTTAAATGTTCCGAGGAGAATGACAAACATTTCTCTTCCGTGGATACAGACAAAGGGAATTGTGGAGGAACTGGAGT